AAAGGCACATTTAACTACTACTGTTCTGACCTCTAATCTTAGAAAAGGAGTTAAAATCAGTGAAAAGTATTTGACTCAAGCATCTCTACGAGAACAGATGAAAATCAGTTCTTATCACTTGGAAAAATAGAAACAAATCCCAACAATAATTCTTTCAAGGTCACATAGAGAAAGGAAGTAATCCCATGTCTGTTTAAAGCTAGCATCTTAGAAGAGGAATCTTTTAGCAAGTTTTCAAACTTGTATGCACACAAGTTTTATTTATACAATATTTCTTTCACTATTCCAAGCTCATGATCTGTATAAAAAGAACACAAAACAAGTGGCATACTTTCCCTAGGAGATGCATAAAGCAGCTCTCACATGGAGCATCACGTTGCTGCCACATGGTCCCCAGCCATCACAACACATTACGATCACTTCTGGCACTGTAGCTCATCTCTGCATGATGTTCCCTCAAACCATATTGGTCTTATGCATGTACAGGAAGATGCCCATGTACCATTTGTGAAGACATCCTCTACTTGGAACCAGCTATGGGACCTGAGGCAGCAAAACACCCAAGTATTGGTTAAGCTGCAGGAGAAAGCTTCTTATCTTCTTACCCCCTATTGCTGCAGCCACATGGCTGCTGTAAACTGCTAGTCCAAAGTGAGGTGGGAGTGCCTTTCTGAATTGTTGCCACACACTGCAGCACAGAGAAGCCTTAAGCTTCTTGGCTACAGTAAACATATTGATGGTCTATCATCAGTTACAATTATACTTAAAAGCCAAATCTTGCTCTTACTAATGTTAACAGCCAAATGCCTATACAAAGGAAAACTTCTTGACCATCCGCATGCAAAAACACCACTTGTCACTAGAAACCTCAAAAATCACTCTTAGAATCTAACTTCAGATGCCTTGTAAGTGCAGATATTCCATACAAGCAGAAACAAACAGAGAAACTACACCAGAATGAGCCACCAAATTTCACAATTTCTTGTACAGCATTGAATGCACAACCAGAAACAGGAATACCTGAAAAAAGCTAATAAAATAAATGCCATTTCCTGTTCTTTAAAGCGGATGCTGCCTAACCATTCAGGTTTGGTTTTTCATAGGAGGCTGAAGCTAAATTATTGTGTATGACTGCAAACTGGAGCAACCTGTCCACAGATGCCTTTTAGCACCACTATCAGTCATTCCTCGCAAGCACACAGTTTAAAGAGGAACGTCAGCCTGAAGTTCATTTACAGCAGATGTGCTACATATATCCTTATTTGGACAAGTCTACCACAATATGATTTGCTTTCTTGAAAAGGTGTTACCCAAATAACACTGGGCTCTTTTGTTTGAAGTATGAATATATTCAGCTAACTTTAACATATTTTTTCCTATTATCATGCCTAGCTCACGCTCCCTTCTTTGGAATAACGAACTCAATTTTGAATTGAGATTACAGAAAAGAGAGCTAAGTACACCTTCCAAGAGGATCATCATCTGTCAGAATAACAATGGCTTTGAAGCATTTTTTTTGTTTGAGCACAGGTTTAATTATTTCCAAAAAAAAAAGTAGAAAGCAAATTTCTGATCAAAATATGGACCTGCTAGTATCATGTACTGCTGAAATTTTTAATACCAAAGGCATGACCTTCATAATGGTATTTAATAATAAAATACCATTTAGAAGTGCAGTTACTTCCAATCTTACTAGCAAGTAATTTGCATTAAAAGGAAGAGCCCTTAAATCCAAATTGTCACATTTTTCATGGCATCACTGACCTTTAAAGTACAGGACTTGGAAAAAAAAAAATTATCTTTTGACAACAGAAGCTGAAGTCTGTGAGATGCTGGCATGTTAATACATGAGAAATTTTAGTAGGATGAGCAGAGAATGGACTATTAGGCTTTAAGAAGAGGATACCACTGAGCTTCCAATCACAAGCACCATTTCCTTCAGCTTTTTAACTTATCAGCAGAAAAATAGCATTTCACCAACTAGACAGAATTTCTTTTTTAGGCAACAACTTAGATTCAGATAGCCCTAAAGAAAAGCTATATAACATTTATGATGTGTGAAAAGTTCAGCAGATAAGATCCACTCAGAAAAGCAATATAGCACAGAAAATAATATTGATGTCAACTTTAGTTTCAGCTACTTTTAGGCTAGCAGCCTAAAATATAAACACACATAAGCTACAAATTTGACAGAAGAGCATTTCCAATTCTATCAGCGAGCTCCATGTAACAGTACACCGATATTCAAAAATAATATTTTGTATATAATATACTGATATTTCAGATGATCACAGGTTTGACACAGCGAAACAGAAAGTATCAGAAGTGGAATACTAAGGGTACAGCAGAAAAAGGTAATAAGAAAGTATAACATATATTCCACAGCAACCTCTTCTGCTGCAACCCCATCGATTTAATCAACACTAGTATTTTCTATTTATATCTTGCATCAGTCCAGCTTTTGGTACCATTTACGTCATTGTACAATTTGCTTCTATTTTTAATCTTGTTACTAAGGGAAGTTTGCACCATTTAAATTATGCACATTACATTGCCAAATTTCCTTATGTTTTTCAGTCCCATACTGTTCTGAATACACTCCTGCTTACTTGTTAATCCATCTTCCTTTCTGTGGATATGAATACTTACACCAATACACATCACTACACCTTCAACAACTGCATTAGACATGACAGCAAGACAAATGCTCACCCATTCTGCAGCCATACCTTCATATTGCTTTGTAGAAATACTCCTAATCAACACAACAGCTAGTGCTGGGATCTAGAACGAGGGTGCCGATAAAACTATTTTGCATTCAGGTGCAATGTGAAATTCCCCTCTGAAGCTTTGCAACAAAGAGCTGTAAACAGGTCTTTCACACACTGACAAAGAACACTATCAATCTACATTTACTAAATGTAATTAAAATGATTAATGAGTGCTGGAGGTTGCTTTTTTTTGCAACTGTAACATTTACAGAGGCATGAAGAGGCAAAGGGCATGAACTTTGGTGTAATTTGGTACACTTGGTGCAATTAAGAGCAGTTTTGAGAGTGAATTGGTCCAGATACTTGCTACAGGATGTCAAAACTCAGTCTTAGGTGTTAAATCACAATCCAGGATAAGCAGTATGTAGTAGGGCAACTCGACATCAATGAACAGTGAGAGGCAGTCATGCTAAAACATATTTCCTGTGAATTGTGTCTGCAAGCCACCATGTTTGTGCTGCTCTGAGAGCTGGAGTAAAGATACCACACAGCCCTGAAACACAGACTGCACCTACAGACACTTTGCAATTCAGAGCCCATCCTATTTCCTTTCACATTCTAGAAGAGTCACTGCAAGGTCAGTTGCATCGTCAGTAGTAATGTGAACTGCACTTTATGATACAGGGAAAACACACTGGACATTTGGTTTCTGCATAGAAAATTATGAAAAAAGTGATACTTCTGAACTTGATAGTGGATAGCTATACTTTATTTACTGAGAGCATACCTACAAAGTGCACTGAGTAGAAAGTATAATTTAAAATGAATAGTGCCTAGAATTTGATAAGAACCTGAACAACAAAAGAAAGCTCAACATTACTGATCTACCCTAGTTGATGAAACAAATAGAAGTATAAACCTAAGAAAAAACTAGATTATGGACTAGCACTGAAAAGCAAATGATACGCAGCTCCTTTCACCCATACAACCATGAAAATGATTTCAGAAACCTATAATGATGGGCTTGCTAACTCATTGTGGTTACAAAGAACAGGTTGGAGAAGAATTTTTCAAAATCCAGTAGAATTTCTAGAAATCACCTAAATTTCTATTCAACACATCCTCACATGCACCCTCCCAAAAAACATAAGTATACATGTACTTTTTCAGCAGTTAAACCTCATGATACCAACACTAAGTGAAGTTTCATATTTTACTGCGCTCCTCTCTTGTTGTAAGCAGTACTTATCTCAGGTTAAGTCTATTTACGAAACACTGAAGTGTTGCTTTTGTTCTGAACGCTCATCAGAAGAGCTCGAATTTGTACATGTATGCACACAAAATATCATATGTCATTGCCAAAGAAGGTATGTTAAATAAAAAAAGGAGTCATCTTGTAACAGATCGAAGATGACATGTAACAAATAAAAAAAATCACTGCAAAGGAAAAGAGAAAACTCAAATGTTTAAAGCTAAAAATGGAAATTCAAATTTGATTCAGAATCACGTTTATGAACACCTTCTACCCTGAATATGACTGAATTTTAAAAATGATGCAATAGGAAGAATAATTCACGTGCACTGCATACATCATTCACATTTTGTATTCATCAGGAGCAGGCTTACACTACAGAACACTTACCTGACAGGTTCATGAGCAAACAGGCTTGAAAAAATAAACAAGAGTCTGGAAATTATCAGTGAGGAAACCATAGCACAGGACCCAGCTTTAAACTATCCCACAGATTTCCTTTTTCTTAATAGAATAGTTTTGCTACATTTCAGAGGTGCAAAAACATCACCAATTTTTTCCTGATCACTTATCATAAGCAGTGCATTCTGTTTTTGGATGGAAATCCAGCATGTTACTATGAAAATCATATCATTGACACTTGATATTGGAAGAAATTCTAAAAGAGAACAGCAGTAGTTTGCCTTATGGTAACCAAACTCTGGTTTGATTCTACTAAATAAAACACAAGTTGCTCATTATTAGTTGCTTGGGTTAGAAAATACATAGCTTTATTTAAGAATAAAGCTCATTCTATTTTTCAGAATTTTATTTGGACAGAAAACAAAAAAAATGGAATTTTTACTGTATAAAAGAAAGGCTTTATACAAATAGCCAGCGAGACCCACATACATGCTTATGTTTAGTAGATTCTTTGAATTAATAGACTGTTCACTATCAACAGCTTGCAAATATTCCTTATTTAGCTTGCTATTTTGACATGATTGGAGATACGATATATACCTATTAGTGCACGTATACATAAAAATTATTCTTACCAAGATGACTTGGAAAAGAACTGGAAAAAGATGGTTTTCTTCCACAAGGCTGTAAAAAAAACCAAAGATTTACTTTAGAAGAGAGGAAGTGAATTCTTATTTAATATACTAAACACATAGGAGGAGAATAGTAGAATAAGAGTTGCCAAAATCTATGACCCCAAACCTCAGTCTTTGATTAGCTTCCAACAAAAATGAGCTCCCCTTTCAGCTATCAAATAGAAACAGCAACACAATGCTGCTTTGGAAATTACTTCTAGATCTGCTTCGTTGATGCAATTCAAGTGAGCGGTACAGTAAGTAAATTAGTATTTTTAAAAGGCAAAAAATAATCAAAATTCAGAAATACAACACTGTACAGACTATGAAACAGTCACCGTGCATCATCAACTAATTTGAATTAAGAGATTCACAGCATACAAGGCGAAATTACAAACAAGCTGTGTGTTGTTATTTGAAGCATGCTACATTAACCAACTTCTTGGGTTTAACATATATTAATATACGACGCACTTGCAATTACTTCCCTTCAAAGAATTCAGGAGCCGTTACCCAAAAGAATTTACTTCTGTTTTCCTGAATTTCAAAGTCTTTTCAGAAGAAAGCAGAATATTCTCAAAAATAAATAAATAAAAATCCCGAAAGCTTTATGTCTGTGAATAAAGCAGATGCGTATCTCTGTCACATGCAACATGATGACAACAGAATTATAGGAGGTCACTCTGAAAGTAACACTTCCTATTTATCTCCGTGGAAACTACAATAGATACAAAGAGTACAACAACACTATGAGCAAGTTCTCAGCTACAAAACACCATGTTTCAGTACAGTCACCACCATTTCAGCTATGCATTTAAGCCACCAATGAACGAGAGCCTGCATGCCTCACTCATAGAGGTCTGTACCAGTGGAGATGAGCCTCAGTGGCTGTTGCCACTGCTGAAAGGCACCACCGCTGCCTCGCTGTGCTGTCATCTGCTGTTTGCTATCCAGAAATGTTCAGTAAGCGTTGGTGAACGTCAATGGGAAACAGTGATTACTGTATAGAAGAATTCAATGACACACCTCTGCTAAATGTGCACTTCCACAGCAGATGCTATTGAGTCAGACTCAAAGACTCATAAAGGCAAAATGATCCACGACAAGTAGAAACTTCATAACATATCTCAAGATGCAGCTGTATAATTTTAAAAGAAATGAGCAGGGATTATGAGCAAAGCAAACCAGTTCGTTCAGTTCACTATGCCCTTCCACAACAAGCTAGGACTTTGAGATTCTGCCCATTAGAAAACAAAATTGCTGGTTCTCAAAAAATTACTAGCAGACTTGATTTTAAACCTTGCTATTTAAATAGGATGTGAATTTCTGAAAAGTTTGCCAGTAAATGACAACAACTTCATTCCAGTAGTTGTAGAAACCACCATTCTTTAGCCCAAAGTCCCAGGTAATAGCCAACAGTAGACTCAAATTACACTGATGCCAAAGGACATTAAAAAAAAACAAACCCAAACATATGAATGTTAAGGAAAAAGGAAATACCTTTGTCCCCTTCAAACAGACCAAAGTAGAAGAACATAGCAAAAGGAATATTTGTGAAAGACCATGGATGATATCTACTAGTACATTAAAAAAAGTTGGTCTAAAGATCTTGTCCCGTTCAGAATTTGGTATAAAATGAATATAAATAAAGCTAATAACCTCATTGCTATCAGCTGGGAAAAAAGGGAGGTGGAGCACGGCTGTCCCTAAATGTTAGAAAGTCTTCCAGACAAAAATAACCTCTCAGGTCCATTGGAAGCTTACATTAGAGCAGAACTCAGATAAATTTATTTATCTTTTTTTGGTGAACTCCACAAAATAAAAACCCACCACTGAAATGGAAAGGTTCAAAGTCATCTCACTGCCATACTTTCATGTCATGCCCTTCAGAAGCTGTCCAAAATAGACAAAGAATGATCTTACCATTGATTTTTAAGAAATATTATACCAAGATGCAACTCACAATAGTGTCTACCATAGAATACAACAGGGAGAAGATCTATTAGGACTTCCAATTATTTCAGAGTCAATTTTCTTGAACAATGTTATTCTTCGCTTCCAGTTCCTAACCCTTCTCAGTAATTCTGGTTTACATTTCAAATGACCCAGGGGGCAAGGAGGGAAAAAAGGATGAAAAGAGTGTGCAGGTAGAAAATTATCTTGGATGTCAAATAATTGGATTTTTTTTCTTTTAATGCTTCACTTTTTGCAGTAGACAGAAACTGGAAATAAACACAACAATAAAGATCTCACTGTAAAATCAATGCATCACCATTATACGATGGTATTTTAAAGAACTTTCAAAAGTATATGATCAGTACTAAAACAGGAAAGGCTGACTGATACTCATAAGTATAGCAAAACAAGATTTGAGAATTAAAGTAAAAGTACATCTTAACTGTAAGAAAAATATTTGAAGTAGGATATTTCTTTCAAATATCTTAGCCACAGCTGTCAAAGTACGTGAGTTCATGGATAACACTTTTCAGGAAGTAGAACATGACGACCTGCACTGAAAGTACTGATCCACAGCAGTTTGGGGCTTTTTTATCGCATATTAGCAGTAAAATCATTAGTAGCTTTCAGTCCCAGTACAGGCTCAAAAAACTGCAGAAAACAGATATTGGAAGGGCATCACTGCAACGCCAGTCAGTCATCCAGCACTCAGTTGGATTATGGAGGGAGAACAGAGTTTTATTTTCAATTCCTGATCAGTTTCCAGCTTCAAAATCCATACATCTATAGAAATGTCTTTCAATAGGTTTTCAACCCAGCATACTGTCTGCTGCTGATTTCCCATTATGTTCTATAATTTTGCCTCTGCCTAATTACAAGCAGCACAAAAATAACCTAACCAATAGTATTAAAATAAGTCCCATTTTTAAAACAAAACTTTTGAAATCATAATAAAATGGTTCCCAGACAGGGAAACAGTAACTGTAATAAAGCAAGAAAGTCGTATTAAAATTTAAAAGAGCCTGAGTATTCAGCTTCATCTATTACAACCCTATAGCATGGTATAAAATAAGAAAACCAAGTCATAAGCAGTTTTGCTGAGTTCATGAGATCAAAATGAAAAGAAACGTGCGCTTAAGAACAATACAGACAGCAATAATCCCATGGAAAATAAATGCAAACCTTACTAAAACAAACAAACAGTTTTGCCACCATTCTGTTTGAATGTCCATAAAATCTTCATAAAGTTACGAATTAAAGTGAATTTTGAGTGTGGTCAAGTGATAGGGTTTTTTTAATAACTCTACTTATGTCCTGAATTCCTAAAGTTCAGGAATTACTCAAATGAAAAAATATAAATTACAACACCTTAGAAAGTGATTTTAAGGAGTACTACAACTCATGAAATTCTTCAGCATAGGGATGCAATTCAATGACCACCACAAACTGAACTGCTGGAAGTTTAATACATCTTACTTTCTTCAAGAATCCCAAAATATTTTAGCAGAGCTTCTTTTGTTGTTTCATTTTGAAGATGAGCATTCCTTGAAGGTTCTGTCAGATTGTGATTGCATATTTTGTCAACTTCAAGATCTACAGCTAATAGACTATTAACATTTTACAAATAAATACAAGCAATGGCTATTTAAACATTAAGAGAAAGTTCACTTCTACAGTAGAATATAGTAGAAGACAAAAAGTAGTATAGTAGAAGACAAAAAAATAAAAAACTAATTTTGTTCAACAAGAATATAAGAAAAATTACTATTCTTGAGTTTAAAGAGTTTTTTGAAGGCAAAGAAGCAGAATGATACCCCTTTCTCAAGTTCCATGTTTCAACATTACATTGAAGAAAAAAATCACTGATTTTTAAAAACAATTTTCAGATTTTTCATTCAGATAACAAATATCCTGATGTTTTACAGAATTATGTCTTGTATAATAAATCAACGGCAGGTCAAACAAGCTATTTCAACCATATGTAGATATTTATACACATTTCCAAAGCTATTTTTTTAAAAAAAAAAAAAGTTCTTTATACATTTATGCCCCTCAATTCTGAGATTTCAGCCCAAAATATATACAATTCCTTAAACCTAAAATTAAAGTGTACAAAAAAATTTTAATTCGTTTGATACATGAAAAGAACCTCCTCAGACAATTTTGCAAGACCTTTTAGTCCTATTTGAAAAACACAATAGTACATTAAGCAATTATTCTCTTGCTTCTGGCCTTCTGTAACTAGGCATTCATACCAGTAGAGATAGTTGTTCAAATAAGGATAGCAAGACTGAATTATTCCACAGTATAAATAAAGCTAAACTCAAGGGAAAACTAAGTTCCTATATGGACCAAAATATTTATTATTTTTGTTCCTAAGAAATTACAAATGCAATATATAATAGTGCAACATATAATGCATTTATAACTTCTTAGGAATAAAAACAGGAATGAAGATGAGAAAATCTGTAAGCTCTAAATATAAATGCATTCCTCCCCTAAAATACTGAGCAAAAATTTCAATGCATTAAATAAGAAAGATAAAGTAGGTTTATGTCTTCAATGTAATTCTTTTGAGACTCTTTTCTCTTACATCTCCTGCAGATCACGACATAGCAAGAAGCAAAGCAGCAGAAAAAGGACATTATATAGAGTTGTTTGGACTTGTTTTAAAATATGGTCTGTTGTAACTTTAAGACTTCTAACATACTTCCCATACACATGCACACAAAATTCTTACTGAATTTGAAACAACAACAACAAGATTGACTGGGAGGAAATGGAAGAGAGTGGGGGATGTAAAAGCAGAGGTCATAATGCACACAGCAGAGATCACTTCTTCAGGCAGCTGAACAACATTGATCACTTCTTCAGGCAGCTGAACAATTCCTACAAAATGCCATTTAGTACAAAACATTGATGCAGGATGATTTAGCAAAAGAGATCAATATATTAGTTTAAGGATTAATAAATTAATTTAGCAAAAGGAATCAATGGGTACTAGTCCTCAAACTTCCCATGTTTACTTCACTTGGTGTGCGAACAGCCTTTTTT